ATTCAATTTAATGTGAACATTCTCCTGCTCTCTCTCTCTCCCTGCCTTTCCCTCTCCTCTCCTTCCCCGTGCACTCTCACAATGAAATAGACACACTATGTATGTATATATTTCAGTTTATAATAATTGTGAAAAATGCAGCTCTGTTTTATTTCAGTGCCTGGGCATCTAGATATAAACAAGTATTTGATCCAGAATAATTCTAGTACAAAATCACATCCTGTGTACACACAGCATACACTTTTCAAATAATTATACTTTATTAGGCCAAAGTCTTTCAGTAAAATTACTCTTGTAGAACTGAGAATATTTAAATTTTCAATTGAATTTCTTCAGATATGTCAAGCCTAGACTTTTCTGAGAATTAATGTATCATCTGTGAGCAATAGAAGCTGGCTCCCTGTAATAGAAGCTGGCTACCTGTTCCACAAATACACAAGATAGAATTTTAATTTTTTAACATCAAGGTGTGAAATGACTGTTTTTCTTACAATTTAGACTCATCGAGAAATTTTTTTTCCTGGATTTTCAAATATGAAAGAAGGAGCCTGTAAACTTTAAAAAAAGCCTAATTTATCACTGATGAATAGAAAATTAAGCAGCTCTATCTAGAGAGCAGACATATGTTCTTCATGAATTTAGAGGAAAAGAGTTTGCCTAATTTAAAATTTCGCTTCCCTCAGGATTTTTTATTGCAGATCCATTTTCTGAATTCTTACATAAACAAGTATTGGGTGTATGAAGTTGAAAGAGAAATGTAACAAACTCTTTTTTAAGGCCAGAAGTCTCAAAACATTGATTTAAAATATCTGGAGTAAAAAATCTCTGATGGTACAATAGAAATAATGCATCTCTTACGAAGAACTCAAATTTCTCTTAGTTATTACAAACTTTGCAACCTTATGAAGACTTAAGTATCATTTCCCCTCCTATCGTTATGAAACTATAAAGGCAATCTTTTTTTCCCCCCTGTTTCCAAGATTATGAAACCACACCTAATGATATTGGAGACACCACAAATAACAGTAATCAGATCACTTCTACGGGTTTTATCAACACAGAGAATGAAGATAGCATCACTGTAAGTATACACATTGTTTCCTGGTTTTTTAATTTAGTGGACTTTCTGACTGTAGAACTAATGAATCTCTGGAGTGGTTTTTTTACCTCCCGATAACAGGACACTAGCCTAACAGTATACAAAAGCTGTTTTGTTTTATTTTGTCTATAAAACCGAACAGTCTGCCTTTGAAAGTAAGATTTTGTTCAGATAAGTACAATACTTAGCTTGCTTCCAACTTCTGAACAACTAATTTTAATTACCTTTTTTGCCAAGACCATGCTTTCATGGGGAGTTTTTATTTACATAATATTAGATTTTTTACTTCTTGGTGGCCCTTATTTGGGTTGGCTGTCAGTGTTGGATCCCCAGGTATATAGTGAGTAAAAAATAAGGCTTAGTCAGAAAAGTTAATACCCTCTGGACTGTGTTATCTTTTCTAATTAGGCTTCATAAGACAGATAGTGGAGGGGTAAATGACATACATTTCTCTGAGGTGGTTCCTCCTTCCATCAGTCTTTCCTCCTTCCATTTGTTTCCTTCCATAGTACAGAGGATGGTAATGCTATGCAGGCATCTGAATCTCTGTTCTCCATAGGATGGGAAAGAGGGCAGATAGTGCCCCACCCCTTGTTCTCTTA